TGATGCCCTACCTTTAAAAATCAACATGCATTAAGGTTTCTCTAGAAAATTTAAGAGTAGATAATGCCCGAAGTAGAAAGGCCTGAAATCGAGTAAGAGAGGATGAATGTTTCCGAAAACGCCTAAGGGTGGTTATTATAAAACTGCTTTAACAGTTAACTTGAAGTTAACTTGTTGAATTACATGTAATTCCAGAAGTTAACTTTAAGTTAACTCTCAAAGTAGTTTTATAATACCCGCCCTAAGTCGCCTAAATGTAATGAACAATGTTTGACGTTTGCACAGAGAAAGTTTTTTTGTTTTGAAAGAGTAGGAATGGCCCAAGGCGGCCGGCGCGGGAATCAGCGCCATTTTGTTTACTTGCCAAAGATGTTATTTATTGCAAGGTTGTTTGATAGAGGCGAGAGAGGTAGGTTGCCAGGTCTCTTTATGACGTCATCTAGGGTGCCTCAACATAATGCAAATCTCTATAAGGTATCCCAGATCAAATGCGTCATCAAGTTACCCATTGCCAGACAAACCTGAACCTTGATTTATTGAAAAGTTTGCCTTCGGCAATCGGCGCCATTAGCCCCATTTTGTTTACCTATAAAAAATTTAAGTAGGGGGCAAGTAGTGTATGCCCTATGTTAAATTTATCATGCCCTATCATAAATTTGACTCTAGCTACGGCCCTGGTTCAGTGTTTCATTATACCGGCCATTAGACAATTACCTAAACAAATGATGCGGACAGTGAATTTGTAGCGGAAAAAATACCATCATTTTTAACTATCGATATCGAATAAGTACGTTAAAATGCTAAAAAAGGGGCGTGGCACCGAACAAAAATTTGCCTTCGGCGGTTACCAGCGGCGCTATTGGAACTGATCTTATTATAGTGCTGCCCCCCCCCCCCCTGAGAAACCTCGTAACGACGCCCATGGTGATTTAAACGTTTAAACGCAAAATATCACCAGGAAATAATTTAATTCTGGCAACGTAAGAAAAGTGAAGTAATATTCCGATAGGGTCCATCCTCTATGTGCATAGAATTGGACTGGTTCTTGAGAGTACGAGTTTTCCATTGAACATTTCATAAGGTCTATTATTAGTGAAGTTCTACAACTAGAGTGATAGAATACAATAATACAAAAATACAGTAGAACTAAACCAATTTTATGCCCGTTGTAGAACTTCACTAGGCAAACAATCTCATGGCGTTTCCGATTGGTAGTTTCACGTAGTTTCAATGCGCACTGAGTGTATTTGCATCCTTTTAATTGACCTGTAGAAGAAAAAGATAGAAATAAAAAAAAAATTGCACAAGCTCTGCATTAGATCTACCAATCGGAAACGCCAGCAATATGAAGCAAAAAGCTATAAACAGATTCTGCCAGTTGTCAAAATGTGACATGCATGAACTTTGTTTAATGTTTTATCACCAATAAACTACCTTGAAACAAAAAAGAACCAGATTGGAGTATTTTTTCTACTAAAACAAATGACAGGTTTTGACAGTTCTGTAATTTTTTTTCAATTTTTGAATTCAAAATTTACATACAAGTTGAGAATGTCAAATTACATCATAAAATATTGAAAACGGGAAAAGATGAGTGCTGCCGTTTGGCAGGGTTTTGACAGGTGTCAAAATGGTTGACATTTTTTGACTCAACTTGGTCGTCATAGTAGACATCGATACTTCGTTCATCAAAATCTGCCATAGTCACTCTGCTTTTGGATATAAGATTCCAATATTTGACAGCTAACCACGCCTCACCTGTCATATATACAGGGTTGTGCCCATGGTAAAAAATGTTGCTTACGGCATCCCCAATAACATATTTAAATTTCATCCAAATATCACGGGTAACCAATTTCCATTTAAATATTGCGGGGTCCTTTGTTGACTTTATGGAATTTAGTCCTTGGGTTAGAAGTTGGTGTTTACTTTGGTCGAGGAGTTTAGATGATGTTTAATATTGTTTTGGGATTGACTCCAACTTTTTGTTCTGCTCTAATCTATTCACATGCTTTGTGAATTCTGGCAATAAGAGGTCATTAACTCATGAGATAGAGCAGAAGGTATATAATAAAAGATTTTTTAAGTAAATTTCAATACTTATTTATTTCCACTATTTTTTGTTAAACTTTTAACATGTTTCGCTAAACTTTAGCTTCATCAGAAAGATTTTAAAAAAATTAATAATGTAGACATAAAAGTGAAATTGACTTTTATGTCTACATTATTAATTTTTTAAAAATCTTTCTGATGAAGCTAAAGTTTAGCGAAACATGTTAAAAGTTTAACAAAAAATAGTGGAAATAAATAAGTATTGAAATTTACTTAAAAAATCTTTTATTAGATAATGGATTTCCACCAAGTAAAAGCCGATTCAATAAAAAAAAAAAACAGAAGGTATATGCTAGAATGCGAAAAATAAGAAAAATCAAACAAGATCTAACACACAACGGCTACTGAAAGACCAACACCAATAATCCGACACCCAGAGCCTTTAATAATATTATCTTTACTCCTTTCGTTGACAGAGCCAGCTTCAACTTCCCGTTGATACATTGTCCCGGATGACCGTCATATCTGAGACAAGTAGTATGTTGATCTTTTAGGTAAACAAGCCTCTAAGGCGTAAATAAATACTTATTTTTTGATATATTTTTTTAAATTTTACTATCCAATATCAGCTTCTTCATGTTCGGAGAACGCTTTCTGGTTCTTACTTCACAATTTCTGTGCCTTATCGCCCTTATTTGACGTTTTTTGTTTGACATCTCAGACTCTATGTTTCACACGTCCTCTGTTTCCCACTCCACATTTTATACTGTAGCTTCAATTCTCTCATTTTGCTCCCAGACAATGTTTTGCAGCTCACCCCTTTTTTTAACAATAACGTTCTGTAACTATACTCTCTCTTGTTTTTGCAAAAATTTGGAGCTTGTTCTGTTATTTTTTTTCTTCCTCCTCTCCTTCCCATTTTTCTTCGTCTATCTCATCGCCTTCCTGTCCAATCCAAAACTATCTTTCGTGAAAAAGTCACGGGTTACTCATTTACCGTTTCAAATTTGAAATTTTTAGCAATTGTCTGGATATTTCTCGACTATAGAAATCTCTGATAAACACCGATCGATAATTGACTAGGCTACATTCCATGGAGGCCAAATTCCATGATGGAGAATTCCAGTCACCAGGCATACAGGGATGATTGATCAAGAAGTACGACAATCGGGTTTAAAGGTTTTCTCTGTTATTTTATAACACTATTATAACCCCAAAGAGTACCTGCTCTGCAGAATGAATACAAGGTAAATTGCGGAATTTCACTCTTGGGATGAAAATAATTCTGGATATCATTTTGCATTTTAAAGGGTAGTTGGATCAAGGTTGGGAGTAAATCTTGTTGAAATTAGAAATTATGTAATTGGGTTGCCGAATAATTGATGTGAAATTAGTTCAAGTTGAAAATTAAAATTCCCAATGTTAACTTTTTCGACGTTTCGTGGTTTCGTATTAAACATTTCTCTCATCAAATTATCTTTTCCAGTAAATTGAGATACACCTGGCACCGGACAATAAATCCTACATCGAAATTCACTGAAAGATTGCCAAAAGCATAAGATATAGGTAAATTTTGGTGCTTGGTACGGATATTGAATCGATATTTTAATGCTTATATAGTTCATATTATTCAGTGGCGGCTCTTCCTTAGGTTTGCAGGTTTGCGCAACCCCCAAAACAAAACTTAAAAAATATAAAACAAAAATAGTAGAATTGAATTTTAATACCTAATTATATTTAAAAAATAAATTATACCAAAATTTGGGACCTCCATAATACGCAGTCAATTATTAAAATAATTTGACCAACTTCGCCAACATATCAACAACTCACAGGCCGCCGGGAGTAGCGGCGTCGAGTCGCTGGATTGCAGCTCCAAAGCAAACCGATATTTTATATGACGGCGCACATTTGGTTGCCTGTATATGCGTGGATTCGAAATCCGCCCCATAAGCTCCAGCAGGTTGCAAGCAAAGTGCAATCTTTGTATATTTTTTTTGCTCGCAGCGCAGATTAGGTTTGTTTTGTGAAGTTTTGTCGTGTGGGGGGTGGAAAAAAAAAAGAATTCTGTTTAAAATTTAATTCCCGAGCCATTCTTTGGTCGTTCATTAACCGATAAGGCTGAAATAAAAAGACTTGGAAGGCCTACTCCAAATTTAAAAATTGAACAAACTGTAACTAGCAAAAAAAGGACTTTCACCGTAGGACATTTAATCTGGACCTTTACGAAAAACATGCATGATTGTACCATTGAAATTGCAACCCCTACATTTTTAATATACGAGCCGCTACTGATATTATTATCTGGCATCTCCCACGTATCAACAAAAGAACTGTATTTAATTTGAAAAAAATGAGGTAGCATACTTGTACCAGCAGAAATCTGGGTTTTCTTAATAATGTCACACATGCGCGCATATACATATTTCCTTTTTTTTATATTACAAAATCCTTATTAAAATATTTCATGGTTATGTTAATTAACTTATGTATAAATAGCGGTTTATAAATATTCTTCGAAATAAATATAATAAAATTTCGTAGTCGTCCACGGCTTGCATCATTTTTTGGGTTAATTTTGGTGTTTATGTCTTATATGTAGATTTGTTCCACACTTAGCTACATAGCAAAGACTAATTTCTGAAATAGGTGTTTGCTAAATAAATTTTAGTTTGTTAACCTTGCCTTAAGTCATGATTGATGACGACAAAATTCATCAATTACCAAGCACGAAAGCATTTTAAATGAATTCAATGTTGTATTGGTTATTGTCTGACACATTAGCAACACACTTTACATGACCTTGTTTTGGCGACGTTTGTATTTAAGTGACGTATTGCGATTTTTGTTTGCATTTTCCAAACACCATCACTGATTTTGGTGCGTGAGGCTTATGTATTAGATAACAAAATTGTTGTTTCGATTTTGACCTTGGTTAATATTGTTTCAGATACATCTAAAATGACTCTTTGCACACAATTGAGTACATCAGCGCCACGTCCTCAAAGACGTCCAGGGCGACCCCCTGGTGGTAAAAAAATTATGGCTCCCGGAAAACTAAGGTCCACTTATAGAAGAAGCCTGGATCCTTGTGATAACTCGAATGATAGTGGATTAGGGTAAGTTTTGTGAATTTCAAAAACAAGTTTATTTATTGATCAATTGAGGAAATATAAATTTAATTTTATCTTGATCAGTATTTTAGAAAATAACACAACAGCTTGGTTTGTTGATAAGATTAATTCATTAACCAAAATAAAAATGAAATCATAGAACGGCTGCGAATATAATTTTTATATCTTATCTAAGCTATGCAAAAGTTATCTATATTGTAAAATAAATGCGGACTGCGTTTATGGTGTTAGATCATCACAGCAATTCTTGCTTAATCTTTGATAACTAACTACGAACGAGACATAAAGTAACCATTGTTTTAAAATTGATAATGAAATTATAGTTATGGTGCCAAGCATCGTAAAAGTAATGGATAATAATCAAACAAACAATATATTGGAACCTAATTTTAATTAAAAAAAGCAACCATATTAAAAACTTAAGGCCCCCACAGACGCTCGGTTTTTCCTGCACAGGCTGAATGTGCAAACCTGGTTTGTATCGGCGCGTCTGTGGATACACCCGGTCGACTGTGCAGGCCGCTGGCCTTGTCTGAGTGAAAATTTGGCTTGCACAAACTATTTTCACTGTAGAACAAAATTATCCTTGAACTGCGTTTGCCGTCCTGACTGAAAAGAACTGTGCCTGTGTGCGAGGGGCACAGGTACAGATTAATTTGCGAAAATTGGCCTGTATATACAGTCAGCCTGTGCAAAAATACTGAGCGTCTTTAGTTTGTACCTTAATGAGAGGTACTTAAGTCCCCCACAGACTCTTAGTTTTTTTGCACAGGCTGACTGTGCAACCTGGTTTACGAGAAAGATGGATGACTACAGCAATCCAATCAGACGACAATATGGACCTAAACGTCCCAATAATATACACTGTGGGCCAAATTAAGTTGGAACATAATTTGACTATTAATAACTTTTATTTTCTACTTAACTATTATAGATTCATAATACCTAGAAACGAAATACGTTAACATACCTATAACAACCTGATCCATAACAGAGCGGGCGTTATGATCTATAACGCCCGCTTATAATACCCTGAGGTGTTTTTGTTGTTGTAGTTTTATTAATTTGCACTTTACCATAGGCAGCCACTAAATGTCCGAGTAAATGTCTGCCGGAAATAATTTTCGGTCTAGCAACCCGGTCTACCATCAACGTTTCTCATGTAGTCCAGCACGTTAACCCACACGACCACCACCGTTACCTTGCCTTATGAGATATTTATAGATATCGGGTCTTCAAAAAAAAAAACAATCAAATATTGCTATGTTTTTTTTTTAACGTATGCCTTAGCAATATTTTTCTTTAATTTGTCAATAAACTTTAATGTCAAAATGTCATGTCAAAAATCCTGACCAATAAAGAAACAGTAATGCGACGTACGTTTTCGTAATCAAAGCAATCTTCGATTGGTTTTTTTTTTGAAGACCCGATATATTAATTTATTTCGTTTCTAGGTACAGGTCACAGGTACAGGTACAGGTCACAGGTACAGGTACATGTCAAAATACAAAACAATATTCTGTCACACAAATTTAACTGATTTTGTTAATAATAAATTGATGAAAGAACATTGTGTTGAGTAGAAAATAAAGCATTGTATGCACCACGGGGATTTTAAGATTATAATACCCTTCAGGCGAAATATATCCCTCGGGCCAAAGGCCCTCGGGCTAGTTTCGCCTTCGGGCATTATAATCTACATAATCCCCTTGGTATATAAATAGCTATTTTGTCTGTTTACGGATTTTAATGATTTTTGGATATGATATTAGTCAATATGTTTTTGTTGTCACCTTAAAATTAATTATACCAGACTTACGAAGATTTAGTTAAATCAGTGCATTTAAGTTCGTTGCAAAAACGAACTACGCTACTTACAAACCAATTTTTTTTTTCTAGAAGTGCATTTATAGGAAAACAAATCCTGAAAATATCGACATTTTAGAACCAAGACCTGAGAAACTATAATTTTTTTTAACTAACAATTTAAATAGGAAATTTTATAATAATTTATTCCAGATTGCTTTGGAATTAACCAATTGTCAAATTTTTGACATTTTAGTAATATGTTGTAGTATGACATACCCAGGTTCGTTCAGTAAGATTGAACGAAGAGAATTTTTATTACTTTTATTTACGACTAATGTATAATGTGCGTATTATATTTGTGATTTTGGCAGTATAATGACATATATTATTCCTCCAGGGATTAATGACGAGTAGCGGGATTAATGGTCATTATTCCACAAAAGTGTCAGTGTCAAACGTGTAGTGCTTGTGGATTTGTATTGAAAATTATGAGACGGATGAAATTTGTTCATTGAAAATCTCAAATAAATTAATTTGTCGTAAATAAAGTAGAGTATACTACTCGCAATAATGGCTATTATTCCCTCGGAATGTTACTCCCTCGCCACTAACGCGGCTCAGTTCGTAATAATCCTCGGGAATAATAGCTATCATTATTGACTCGTGGTATAATCTACTATTAAACAACAAATCTTCTAAAAAATAAAATGAAAAACAAATAGGACCTACGTTGTGGAAACTTACTCAATTTTACTTACTGGACATGCGCCCGACATAGCAAATATTTGAGAAATTTAAGGGAAGTTGTGATATGTAAAAGAAACAAAAAATTTGTGAAACGTCTACTTTATTATTAAGTAAAGTAAATCGTAACGTTCTCATTTTGGAACTAACAAGGGGAAAGAGCTCGGCAGAGAAACCCTCGATCTAACATTCCTCAAAAATCGAAACATACTGTGTCATTTTAATAATAATTGTGAGTCATTAATTCAATAATTTAAGTCAATAAAAGTTTAAATTAGGTACCGCCTCTGTTCTTGTGCTAAAATTTTAATTACACACACTACATTCAATCAACACTACCTATAAACAATACTGAAGAGTTTTTTGTTAATTAGCCGGTCTGCCTGAGGGTACTGAGGTCCCATACGGGATGCTACCCGGGTATAGTTGTTTTTGAGCCAATATCTCTAGATTGATTTCTTCAATTTGCTAGGATATTCTCTCGTCAGGGTATGGAATATGTTAGTAAATTCAACAAGGCCCTAATGCACGCTCTGAATACACAAAAATCAAAATTCCAGCACAAAAAGACAGCACTTAATTTCTTAGGATTCAATTTACTTCTTTATCTGTGTTGTTAAATATATGAATAATGCACATGTTATAAAAAAAAATCGCGTGCAGCACAGTACACGTGGATAGAAGTGAATACTTACTTTATCTCCCTCATATTCATCGTATGCTTCATCTCACTTGCGAGACGAAAATTTTATAAATCGTGTCGTGACGCGACCTTAAAAAATCACTCTCATGCGGCCAAAGAAGTATTCACTTCAAAAAATGTTATAAACAAACAAAAAAAAAACATAAAAATTGAATAAATGATACTTGTATAATAAATAGAACTCTCAAAAACAAAATAACAATTATTCAACTGACCTGTAATCTCTCCTTGACACACTAATAACAAATTGGACTGAACAATCAATTTAATGCAAAATAAAAATTGAATAATGAATAATTACAGACACGCGACACGCGTCCAAGGGACCAGTCCCAGCTTGTTCTCTAGTCTCTCTAATGCCTAATCGCCTCTTCTCTATCTCCCGTTCGGTTCGGTACCCTTTCAGTACGCTTCACGCTTCACGGCGCATACAAGGTTGCAACATTTATTTTGATTCAGTAAACGTTTTTTTAAAAAGTTGAGATTTGAAGAAATAATATTTTAAGTAGGTGGTTTTCTTCAATGTCTAATTTAAAATAAGTAAACATGGTCCTATCGTTGGAAGACAAAGTTTTAATGAAAGAGTTAATGGAAAAGAATATAGGTGCACGCAAAATTCTTAAAATGTTTCCAGAAAAAAACTGGAGATTAAGTACCGTAAGCTATTTTTTAAAACATTATCGCGAAAATGAAACAATTCAAATTAAGGTAGGTCGTAGTAGGAAAAGATTAATCCACCAGATGTGATGAGTTCCAGAAAAATTTCAACAATCACAAGAATCAAGCGAACGACATGCGACAGTGCGAAGAATTTTAAAAAGTGATCTCAATCTTAAGGTATACAAAAAAGTCTTTTGTCAAAAATTGAGTGCACAAACAACAGGTTTTACTTAACAGCCGCAAAAAAAGCCAGAGATTCCATTGGATAAGCTTTTAATTCCAAGGGCACATTTTGCAGACTCGATCATGGTATCTTTGGCTGTTTCTAAATCAGGAAAAACAAGTGTTATATTTATTGCTAAAAATGTTAAGATAAATTCAGAAGTCTACCAACAGCATGTGCTCGAAAATTTGCTTTAAGAAATTGAAAATATAAAAAATATAACTGATAATTACTGCTTTCAACATGACGGACGTACACAATTAGATTTTTACAAGAAAATTGCCCAGAAATTATCGAGCCAGATTTGTGGCCGCCTAACAGCCCTGACTTGAACCCCGTTGATTACTGCATATGGGGAATTCTGGAGTCCACGGTTTATGCGAATTACAATATTACAACAATTGAAGAGTTAAAAAATCGAATCATTTATTGCTGGAAGAGATTTAAGGTCTGTTTCCACAGAAATCACAAACCAGTCAGAGTGAATTTCATTGGTTGAAAATAGTCAAGAAACTGGTTGTTGGCGATTTGGACCAATCAAAAACGCTCTGACTGGTTTGTGATTTCTGTGGAAACAGATCTTATGACAACGCATTATAGACAATTCTATTAACCAATGTAGAAGACGCTCACAGACCGTAATCGATAATGAATGGGGCTTCATCCATAATCAATTTCTATAAAAAATGTTGGACTTTCTTTGTTTGTTATTGTTTACAGTTACCATTTGTCTTGTTTTATAATTCCTAGTGTAATTAATTTCATAATAAACATTTTTCTACTGAGATTTCATAATACGCTATTAAACGATTAAAATCTGTATCATAATGAACTTCATTATGATAA